TTGCCATTCCTACAAACCAATGTATGCGCAAAATCTAGAAACCTAAGGTCAATCCCCCCTACAGAAGTCTAGGATGGGTTCAGGGTTCAGGGTTTGGGGTTTAGGATAGCTCCTAGATATGGACTGCAATCGAATCCTAAATGCCTACAAGAGTCCCTTGTGGTACGTATTAGTGGGTGGGGGATGAACCCCCTAAAAGGTTAACCCTTTCTGTCGCGTACTGCTGGGCACGATGGCATTGCCCAGAGCTGAGTAGACTCAGCCCCTGCAGAATGGACCTACCATCTGTGTTAACTTCTTGCAAAAGGAGTCTGCAACCCTAAACCCCTAAGCCCAAAGTTGTGACTTCCAGCGCAGCCTCACCGCGACAGGATACCAAGAGCTGGGCCACATCTGCAATCAGCAGCGCCTAGAGGCACATGTTATGCGGTATAGGGTTTCGGATTTGGGTTTACGGTTTAGGGTCGAAATTGTGATCTCTTTTTGGGTCTCCAGTATAGTACGCCGCCGACATTTTCCGCAGCACGTGTCGTTCGCCCACCTGAAGTAACGCACACAGCTTGGGCCCTGGGGCTCTTTAGATTCTAGGGTTTGTTACGATTTAGGGTTCTTTGAGGTCAGGGCTTGGGGTTCTTTAGGGCTTAGGGTTTGGGGTCATTTGGGGTTTAGGGGTGCAGTTCTTGAGGGCTGGGGTTCAAGGTTTGGGGTTCTTCAGAGTTAGGGGTTGTGGGTCTTGAGGGTTCAACGTTTCGGGCTATGGGGCTTCTTTAGGGCTTAGGGTTCTTTAGGGTTGAGGTCTAGGAGTCTAGGGTTAGGGGTTCTTTAGAGTGTAGGGTTGTGGGTTTGTAGGTTCTTTTGAGCGCAAGGTTGTTGGGGCTTTTCTGGGCTTGGCGTTTTGGGGGGATTTGGGGGATCTCCAAAATTAGGAATACCATTCTGGGGGTCGCAATCATAAGGATTAAAATGTTTTGAGGTATACATTGGGGTCCCCTTGTTTTGGGAAACTACCATTTGGGTGTTTGGTACACCCACCCGCGGGCAAGTGCACAGAGGATCATCATTCACGCCTTCAGGACCCAACATCGCCGTAGTGCTTAGATATCCGGCATAAGCGTAGGCGGAGGCAAATCACAAGTGTTCACCCATATATTCAGGGTAGCCAAAGTGAAAAGGAACCGTAATTGTCACAACCTACCACATTGAGTTTTGCATGGACTGCAGCGCATGAGGACTACAAAGTGTACGGTTCAGCAGTCGCGGACGGCGCTGAAGTGAAGCTGAGCAGAAAAGTTGAGCGACTTCCACTTGATGGGAACATTCCGTACAAAGTTTCCCTGGTCTTCCAATTACTTCTCCATGACTGATAGCACTTCAGTGCCCTCCGGAGTCAAACATAAGGTCGCCCTCCCGTTAGGAGGACCGATGCCCCATATGTGGTACTGTATGAAATGATTCTATTTGGAAGAAACCACAGCCAAATCAAATAGCCTTAGCCCGGCTTTGCCTCAACTTGTTTAGGCATCCGCTTAGCGTTTCTGGCTCTCTCATTGTCTATAGCTACAAGCAGTCCCCATCTTGGCTTTGCTTCAGCTTTTCTGAAGTTCAGTTGAAATTCACAGATCAGGCCTCTTGGCATTGGCCGCATTAAGCCTTCTAAGGGTAAGCTTTCAACTGTCCTTGTTGTCCGGAGATGCTGCGAAGCCAGGGTGAGTGAAGACATGTAATCAGACTATTTCCATCACTATTAATTCCTAACTACAAGATGGGCCCCAGTAGGTGGTCGGGGTCTGAAATCGCCGTGGAAGCTAGTCGAACTAGGCAGGACTGTGTTTATAGTTCTGATGACAAAGGGAACGAGCTAAACTCATCAGAAGAGAATTTGAATAGGATGGTGTGGCTGTACCTTCTTCAAGTAAACCACTTCTGAAATCTAGAGTTTTACAATCAAAGTCTTTACCTGGACCAATGTGCAAAGGAGTCTTTCATTCTACCTGGACCCGAAAAGTATGTAGAATAATGGCCCTTTTGGCTATATTTGGGGGTTCTGGGCTATGGTTTTACCTGTTTTTGGGCTTAAGGTGTTACAGTGTTACCATCTCTGTGCTTTGTTCACGTCATCTCTCTCTTTCATTCCTGGGTTCATTTCATGCACTGAATTTATTATTAATGGCCGAATAGTTAAGTTGCGCATGTACTGGTAATGGCAATAGTAATAGCTATTGTTATAGTAACAGTAGTAGTAGTAGTAACAGTAATTAATAGAGTGAACCCCGAACAGCCCTGAAAACTGGCAAGAGTTGATAGCCTGTTGTCCGCGCACTGTACCCAGCAGTGCTATCCGCGTGCCACAGGGAGATGGTGACCTAATAGGGCATGTGGTAACTGGGGCTAAGTAGGGAATAAGGGAATATATCATATCGTATACGGAATATATTAGGGACCACTTATGATCCCTTAATCCCTACTAGCCACTAACAAGTCATGCATACCTTTACCCGTGGCTCATCCGTCATCCTGAATCTTTTATTTCCCGCATGCTTACATGGGACATGCAACGCTGAGGAGCTGCATAACTGACCAAGGACAATCGAGTAAGACATTGTACCTGCTGGCGATGAGACTCCAAGAGCTACAGCGAAGATGTGCGAACAAGACACTAAGATATTCAGAGGGGCATTCTCACATTTCAGTACCCTCTGTACAGCCCCCCCAATAGTCAAATCCTTGCTTTCCTGCAGAACCCCGTGATTGCAAGGCACCCGGGTTGGAAAAGACTAATGCAGCAGGCAGCCAACTTCATGTACCCTCTGGAATGCTTCTGCTTTGGGTTTAGGGCTGATTAAGGCCCCTCTTTCGCAATCTAGATTACATAATGGCACTGCAGATTCTGCAGAGGAGACCTCTTGAACAGAGGTAAGGAACCTCCCCTTCGGCTTCTGCTCTCCTTTTCCCAGGGCGCAGCGAAAATGTGGGCCGTAGTCTAAACTCCCAGCATCCCCATTAATAACCCCTATACTCGTCCCCTTTATAATCCCGTATATAACCTTCATTTAGGGAGTTTAGACTTTAGCTCATGTGTTGAAAGTCAGGCTGCAAAGAAAACATAGAACCTGCGGAGTACTCCGACAAGGTATGGTGAGAAACGGTCAAGAACAATGGCATGTGAGCCTTTGAATAAGCCCTATAACAAACCCTATATAGTCCCCAATATAACCTCCCTTTAAGAAGCTTACGCAAACTATAGCCCATGTCAAGCCAGTGAGTGCTTAGCCCCACTCGTTGATGAGGCGGGCATCGTCACCCAGCGAGCCTCCGAACCGAGGGTCGTCATTGCTCAGCTTCGCAAAGAAGAAGATGCTGCCAATGGTCAGCGCAATGACGATCGGGAAGTAGATGGTTGCTGGAAGCATCTCGTCACTCTCCTCTTGGAACTTGATCTCGGGCTCGAGACCCCACATGTTCCCTTTTCGGTCCTGGTCAAATGAAATCCCAGCGTTGGACTGCTCGTTCATCAGGCGCATGTCGGGCTTCGGCATCCCAAAGGCGCCTTTCTTCTCTTCTTTCTTCTCCTCAGTCTTCTGCCCAGGCTGCGGCAATGCTCGCAGCGCCTTGGCGGAATTCCTGCTGCTTGCCGGCGCTGACACGAAGCTTAGCGCCACCGTGGAGCCCAGCAGCACAAAAGCTGCAGCAACCAGCACGCAGGGCAGGAGCCCACGTGCCCGCATGGCCATCACGGCTTCGTCTACAAGGGCGGGAGGTCTTTTTTGGAGGGTCTTCCTGTACTGAACACAAGCATGGTGAACGGCAAAAAACATGAGCAAACTAGCAAAGACGGTGCTAGCAGAATGCAAAGCTGGCAGCGGAACACCATGCGTGCTTTTTTCTTCGGGCAAGATCTGATTGACTGCGAAAACTGTTGCCAGGCGTGTTGCGGGCGAATGTCGAATGAAGGCATTGAAACCCCTCATGCAGCAGATGGCACGCAGCACTTCGTCAAGAAGCGCCGCAATGCAGATCTTTGAGACTCGTTGAAAGCGAAAATCTTGGCAAATGAAGCTCTTAGCCCCACTCGTTGATGAGGCGGGCATCGTCACCCAGCGAGCCTCCAAACCGAGGGTCGTCGTTGCTCAGCTTCGCAAAGAAGAAGATGCTGCCAATGGTCAGCGCAATGACGATGGGGAAGTAGATGGTTGCTGGAAGCATCTCGTCACTCTCCTCTTGGAACTTGATCTCGGGCTCGAGACCCCACATGTTCCCTTTTCGGTCCTGGTCAAATGAAATCCCAGCGTTGGACTGCTCGTTCATCAGGCGCATGTCGGGCTTCGGCATCCCAAAGGCGCCTTTCTTCTCTTCTTTCTTCTCCTCAGTCTTCTGCCCAGGCTGCGGCAATGCTCGCAGCGCCTTGGCGGAATTCCTGCTGCTTGCCGGCGCTGACACGAAG